AAAAAAAAAAAAAAAAAAAGCATTCCCGTATTCGAAAGTTATTGCAAGCTTCGTACCCTCCAGACAGACCGGGAAACCCGGAGCCTAACATGCTGTCCGTACACTGCAGCCACTCAAAAAATGTTTGTTAATTGCAACCAGACAAGGGAGTGGGGAAAATTGATGCTGCTCGAATGGTGGAAGACCCTTCGCAGGCGTTTACCCTTCCATGTCCCCCACTCCGGGAAGGCAGGGGAAGGCGGGTCCTTGCCCTTCTTGGTGCCCTGACCTGTTTGGTGCTGGATGGGTTTTGAAAATGGAGGTTTCTCTGCAGTGATCCCTGATCCTTTTGTTAATTTGATTATTATTGGTTCTCAGCCTTTTCCCCTCACATGTGGATTGTCATTGTCATCTTTTCGTGTCCTTATTTTTCTTATTGGGATCTTCATTTTTTCCTTCTATGACGTTTTATATTAAAATTTGTTTCTCATGTGTTGAAAAGAGAAATCCTTAATCGTGAGTTTTGTTCTACATACTTTTTTCAACACCTACTGAGTGACAAATTATCAGTCTATGCCTGGGGAAGGGAGGGAGGACGAGGTTGTGTTTTCCAGGGGTTGGTAGCCTCATCAGTATAACCTAACAGGTGAAAACCTGTTAGAGAAGCCAGAAGCCCTTTGAGTGGTCTGTATTAGTTGGCTCAGAATCCATACACAACACACAGAAAGTTGATTAGGATTCCTGGAGCACACCGTTCAGTCCTTCCCTGGTTTGGTTATCAGAATTATGGCACCCACCTGCCCTCACCCGTGAAAAAGGTGTACAAGGGTGACGAAATTCATTACTCAAAAGAGCACTACAGCATTAATTAATCTTCAAAATTATGACCTAAAGTCATTAATCGAAAGTTATACGAATTTGCTATTTGTAAAAACTGAATACACCTTACTTTTTAATCCTGATGGGCTAAAATTGGTGCCATTGGCCATCTAGGACAACTCTGTTTCCGAGGAACTGTATTGTTAGTTTAGGCCACTGGGGTCTACTTCGGACATGAGTGGGGATGAGGGACTATAAATGGAATGAAGAAGTCAACACAGTTTGGTTTTTTTTTTTTTCCTTTTTTTTAAAGAATGACTACCATTTATTGAATTCCTGTACACAGGGCACTTTGCTAAATGCTTTACAAACCACTCATGCTTATTACCTTTGGGGTGGGAATGTTCAGGAAAAGAGATGTTAGGCTCTGCTCTTATTTACCTACCCCAACTACATTGTTTTGTTTCCAGTTTATTTATGTCAGTCATGGAGACATTTATTAATACTAATTGTTAGTTTGTGGGAGATAGAAATTGTGATTTGCTTCTTGGTAAGGTGATCTTGAATAATTTTCAAGCTGATATCTCTTTTAGGCAAACTTAAGTATAGGAGAAGAGAATTTGTATGCTGAGTGTGCACATACCTGGCTCTGTAATTCATGTTCAGTTAAGCCAAAAGTTTTTGTTGCGTGCCTCTTCAGAATTTTAGGTAGTTTTGCTTGAATTTGGTTCAGAACTGTTTGGGGAAAACCTTGAGAATGTTTTAAATACATTCTATCTTGAAAGGAATCTCATCAAGTTTTTATTGGGGGTCAGCCATGTTCAAAAAGAATATGTCCATCCAACTGGACACTATCCTTCCTCGACCTCTTATCCTGTCTTCCCTGTATCTTGCAGTAAAGGATGGCTGGTTTGACCCTCTGAACATCACATTAGAGAAGGCTTTGAACGAAATCAATCTAGATTAATTGGTGATGACACGGAAAAGTAATTTCTATGCTCTAACTTACTCTCTGCCGCCTCCCTCCCCCACCACACACACACACACACACACACACACACCTGCCCACACCCAAAAATAGAGTTGATGGATCTGCATAACTGAAAAAATTACAGAAGTCATGTCTTACCATTCTCAAGAACACTGTTTGTATATTGTTTCCCAAAAGCATGAGGTAGAAGTTAGAAGTCTAGAGAAGTAACTGTACTACATGGAAGTTTACATTAGTTTTGTTTATTTATTTACCTTACAGTGTCTTATTTACATTCCTTCTTTACTGGACCAGATCTAATGATTTTTAACTTGTGGTGAAGAGGGATGTTAGATTTATTTTAATAAAACCAATTTATCCAGCATTTTTCACTGAAAGAAAACCTAGACTTTACATGTAGATGTATCTTTGTTGCCCCAGATTTGATTTTGGTTTTGTCAGCACTAACTGCCTAATTATGGTTAAAATGACTCCCTTGTAACTAGAATGTCAGGTTCTTAGGGCTACAGTATCCAGACCATTGTTAAATAATTCAGGGAGGTTGGTGAAAAAGATTTCTTGATCAGTTCTGCTGGGAATTTTATTTAACATGCATTCCTTACTCAAAATAACATCTAAGGAAATTTTCCTTTGAGGAACTAAAACTATCGTTCATTTAATGAACAATGAGAGTGAGTTTTAAGATAAAGGGCAAAAATCAAAGGTTGATAAACGTTGTAAAAAAAAAAAAAGCACAAGAAAATATGCTTATGCGAACAGTGATTTGTCTGAGTGTTGGGAGGTTAGTTTCCTTGACTTTTTTTTTTTTTTGAGCTTTTTACATGTGCCACCATGGTCAATATTACTTTAGTAAAAAAGTGTTAGTTGCTGGGGTTTTTTAAAAGTAACTTGTGATGTTTCGGTTGCAAAATCCTGTGCCTTTGTGACTCCTTCAATTGAAGTGACCCCATCATCAGTACATAAGCATTCAGTCGGTGTCTACCATATACCTATATTTGATGTGGAAACATTTTTAATACAAATGTCTATTTTCATTTTTCTTTTATTCACTTAGTTTGGATATAAATTAGCCAATTCACAATATTTTATAAAATATTCGTGAATGAATATTGACACACTCTATACAATATATCTTATTTCATCTCATCAAGTAACAGTACCAGCTGTGTGTAGGACTTTTTTCAAGCCCGGTTTATTTGGCTTACTTTGGTTTTTTTTGTTTGTTTGTTTGTTTTTTGTTTCTTTGCTAAAAAGTAGGTCCTGAAAGCAGGACCTTCAAGTTGTGCTTATGCCTTTGTGTCATCAAGTCTCCAAGGCTTTTGTGGAAGTAAAACTATTTAACTAACATAAGCTTTTCTTTTGCCCTTCTTAGGATGCTTTTCAGGAAGCCTTGGACGCTGCAGGAGAAAAACTTGTAGTAGTTGACTTCTCAGCCACGTGGTGTGGGCCTTGCAAAATGATCAAGCCTTTCTTTCATGTGAGTATAAGAGATTTGTGGTTTTGGGGTGGTGGTCACAAAGCTAGGGGAGTAGGACAGTTAAAGGGTTTTGTGTTTTGGTTTTTGCTGGATGTTTGGTCTAAAAGTAGCAGCAGAATGATTTAAATAATTTAGGTTAATTATTGAGTCCATTGAAGATAACTTCCAGAAGTTCATTTGGTCTGTCTTAAATGGTTTTGCTTCAAGTTGAAACATGGGTCCTATTTGAAATTCAGGCCTCAAAGTTGATGTTCCAAATTATTTTACACTAGGAAGAATTTGACTCAGAAAATGTATGTCCCTTGTACTTACCTGGTTCATAGTCTAAATTTTTGGATCTTTTACTAATCTCTACTTTTACTGAGTTTCTCTTTTAAAAGCTTGAGTTTATCAACTGCCGCTACTCAGTTCTAAATCTTTCTGGATTTTTCATTTTAAATTTTCCAGTCCCTCTCTGAAAAGTATTCCAACGTGGTGTTCCTTGAAGTAGATGTGGATGACTGTCAGGTACGTAGCTGGAAATCTGAGGTACTACTGAGCTTTTCCTGAACTGCATAGTGCTTGTTTTTGTAAAAATGTCAAGTAATACTAGAAGTATAGTCCTGTCTAAAATTCTATTTCAGAAACACAGATAATTATGCCAACTGTGAGCTTCCAGCATTTATCACATCCTAAAATAAGCATAAAAGTAGGTGGTTAAGGCTATGTACCTTATCACCCACCTTTCTAATTCTACCTAACACTCTGAGATGCTCAGTAAAAAGAAATTGAATTTGCTTATGATCATTAAAGTCATAAACTTGATGGTATTACCAAGTTGTGAAACCACTTTTAAGAGTCTTTGTGAACTTCTAAGGGCACAGGAACAGCTATTCACAAACCTTTTCTAGTCTTGGTTGATTTTGGTCATTTAGAAAACCCAAATGTTGGGCCGGCCCGGTGGCGCACTGGATAGTGCGCCACTTGGGAAGCGCGGCGGCGCTCCCGCCCGAGGGTTCGGATCCCACATACAGACCGGTTCCCGCTCACTGGCTGAGCGAGGCGCAGGAGCAACGCCAAGGGTTGCGATCCCGTTGCCGGTCCCTGGTCCGGTACGGGGGCAACACTGAGGGTTGTGATCCGTTGCCGGACACGGAAAAAGACAAAAGACAAAAAAAAAAAGAAAACCCAAATGTTTTCACGAATAAATACTGAGGTGCCTGAGAGAGCTGAGAGAATTTTGGGAGAAACTCCAGGGTTGGTTTTATTTACCAAATACTTGTTTTGCACTTGATATATCAGGCACTGTTCTGTGTGGTTTATAAATTAGTGATTCATTTAATCCTTGGTGCTATTATCATTCCCATTTTACAGATGAGAAAAACAGGACCAGACAGGTTGTCCATGGGACTGCAGTTAGTAAGTGGCAGGCCAGGATTTAAAATGAGGTGGTCTGGCTTCCTAGTCCTTGCTCCTAACCACCACACTTTAGAGGATGCTCTGCCTTGTGGTGGGTGCAGATAGGGTCCCACACCCCAAGAAATTTGCAGAGACTAATGGTAAAGGAGAGACACAAAGACAGCATTATAGTAAGAGCCAAGAGTCACTAAGTACCTGTTATGTTCCAGGCACACTATTCTAAGCACTTTACAGGTATTATCTCATTTACCTTTGTTTCCTCTTCATCTGGCACACCTGCCTGGCACGCTGTAGAGTTGTGGAATGAATGAACGAATATTATGGTTAAGTAAAGTTCCTGTTCTAGGTGTGTCCCAGAGTTTAGAAAAACCTGACAGTGTAATTGCTCACGTTTGTTAAAAAAAAAAAAAAAAAAAAAAAAAATTATTGTCCTTTGTTTTAATCAAACTTCCACTTACAGTCTTATCTTTTCTATGCAGTCATTTAGCCAGGGGAAATTTCTGGACTTAATATACTGACTGTTACTGACCCTATCAGCTAGCAACTTAATTTTTATTTGAAAGTAATACTACATTCAAGATGCCATGTTTTAGCCCCTTTGCATGCCTTATGCCATTGAATCCTCACAGTAACTATGAGAGTAGTTTTTATTAACAAGCATCCCCGTTGAACAGGCGAGGGGACCGCAGCACAGAAGGTGAAGAAGGTTGATCAAGGCATGACACCGTGCCGAGGACTTCTGTATGACAGAGCTCCTCCTTCACGTGTGCTTGGAGCACACTCATTGTCACCCTGAAAGTGTCTTCCAAAACCTTGAAGTGACCCTCTGACAAACCTTCAACTTTGCCTCCATGTTCTAAAGATAGAGCAGCATAGGGGTTTTAATGGAAGGATCCCTAAACACTTGAGCAGGAAGAAATTATCTTGTAGGTGTTGTAGATTCAAATGGACATTAGGCCTGCACATATCATGTGGTACCCAAGGAAAATAATTTGATATTCATAGGAAAATATGAGCACTAGCCCTTTTGAAAGTGATAGACTGATATTATTATTTCTTTGACAGCCAACAGGTATAATACTTACTTTGTAAATTAAAACAAGAAACAAAGTAATTTAGACCCAAGTAGCTTGCACCCTTTTAGAATGCCATGTGTTTGCATTTTGATTAGAAGAGCCAGGAATGAGTTAATAATAGAAGTGACAAAAGCAGAGTTAAAGTTATTTTGGCTCTACAGAGTGCTAACCTAGAAATCAGTGAAGTTACATTTAATAAGGTTAAATATAGTCCATTTATATTTACCAATAAAAATCTGAGATTGGGCAAAACTATAAGGATGGAGAGCAGATCAGTGGTTGCCAGGGGTTGGGGTAGTGAAAGGGTTTGACTGCAGAGGTGCAGCTGGAAGAAACTTGGGGGCAGTGAAGGAACTATTCTGTGTCCTGATTGTGGTGATGTTACACGATGCTGCATGTGTCACAACTCACAGAACTTGTACACCTTCCAAAAAAAGTGAATTTTACTGTATGTAAATGTTTTTAAATTCCAGAGTATTTATTTAAAATACAGGAAGTGAGATGTATCACTAGGAGTAGGCTAGCTTTCTGATTTTGAATGAGGGGAGTAATAAACTTGGGATCAAGAATGTTTTTAAACATCAAAGGTATAACTACTTAGAAGATTTTTGAATAGTATTCATACCTTTCAAATTACTACAGGAATAGGCTAACTGGTCCATAAAACAAGAAGTAGAAAACAAAAGAAATAAAAATAAAACATTAACTATAGACAGTAAAGATCAAAAGTAGTTATGGAACTATCAGATTTTACTGAGATCCATAAAAGTTTTTTTGTAGATGGATATACTGTGTTTATAGATATGACTCAGTATTATTTAAATGTCAGTACTCCCAAATTTGTCTAACTTCAGTCTCAACCTGACATTTTTGGGAAATTGATCATGATATTCTGAAATAATAGTATAGCCAAGGCTATATAAGTCTATAAATAAAAATTAAAACTATTGTCTTTAACCCAGCAACTCCACTTAAAGGTTTTTGCCCTAGGGGTGTGTCTGAGAATTTATTCACAAGGATATACATAAATTGGAAATAGCCTAAAAGTCCGGTATAGGGGATTAAATTATGGTATGGAATCCTATGTCACCTTTAAAAAACTTTCACACCTAGTGAAATGAGAAAATTCTTAAAGCTTTAACTGAAAATGTACTGAATAAAGACTTGACGGCAGTTTTTACACATAAAATGTATGAACACAAAGAACATTTTATCAAAGCATTAATACCATCTCTCTGTGAATGTTTCTTTTATCCGGTGCTTTTTATGATATATTTCTTGTAAATTAAGCAATTATGGAAATGCAGAAATGCTGATGTCTGGCTGGATAAGTTATATGACATCCAGAATCTGACAACATGACTAGACTATGACTTCCATGGATTGGGACCCTGTGTTTTCTGCTGATAAAGTTAGTAGTAGCTCTTTCACCTACAAGTTGTGATTAAATGTCCAGATCCTGTTGTCTTGCACACCATTACATGTGGTGACAGCTCAGTTCCAACCCCCTGCATGAGTCTATGATTAGAGCAAGTGGGGGAGAAGGTGGCACATGCTTTGCAGACCACTGCCCTTCCACCCTAGATACAAACGAAAACTAAGTCAAACACCCTCTTCCATTGAAGCTTCTGCCAACTGCTTACATGAAAAATGGTATCAAACTGGTGGTTTAAATGTACCAAGTAGAGACGGTAGGGACTGTAGTAAACAGGTAACCAGATATCTCCATTGCCAAGAGGAGTAAGTCTGATGTTCCTAAATATTCAAGTTCAAGAGATACCTGCAAGTGGGCAACTAATTCAAAGATTTTTTTTAAGCACTTGAATGGGCCAAATAACAGATCTGGACCAGATTTAGCTCCATAGTCTACCACGTTTAACCCTCTTAGCTGCACGAGTCCCTCTACCCTTCTAACTGGTCATCTACTCATCCATAGTTCATCCAGGTCTTTGACACAGGCAGGACATAGTCTTCCTTTCAACTCCTAATCCAGCTGCACGAGTCCCTCTACCCTTCTAACTGGTCATCTACTCATCCATAGTTCATCCAGGTCCTTGACACAGGCAGGACATAGTCTTCCTTTCAACTCCTAATCCCTCCTAATCCCATTTTCAATTATGGATGTTTACACTGCAAGGCAATGACTGGAATTGTAAATTGGTGGTGCGCTTAAAATTGTATGATCATTTTGATGAGCATATCCCATGTCCCTGGTAACCTCCCTCTAACTCTTTCAGTGAGTGTTCAGAGCCTGAAACATAGTAGAAGTTCAATAAATATTAGCCATTTTTATTCTAGCCATACTGTCCTCATGCGTGTTCCTGGAACCCGTGGTTTCATGCTCAGGAGGTTGTCCGGCATTAAAAGAAAAAGTGAAGATTATCTGGAAAGAACTCTTCAATAATAGTGCCTACCACCCTTCTGAAAGTCACCATAGTGTTGGTAGTTGGCCTTTCTTTCTCCTGAAAGTTCTGTTTCCATAATCTGGTTCTCACATTTCTGTCTGCTTGGTTGCTGTCCTTTACAGCTTCCGCTGCTTGAATGCCGAGTGATTCTACGTCTCTTTCCCAGCTCTCTTGAGTACCATTTACAATCTCTGTTGGACCTTTTCACCTAAAATGCTTGTCTAAACCAAACCAGTGTCAGGGAATTTTCCTCCAAACCTTGTCTTACAGCATGAACAACATATTAAGAATGAATTATTATAAAGATTTTCACTTAGTGTTCCAAAATTGAGGAATGCTTGTAACTTCAATTACCTTTGAGCTGCAGAAAAAGCTTTAGATGTGATAGGAGCCACATCTAGAGGAGAAAGTGTGTATCAGCTAGCCCAATTTACAGTGTTAGGAGTTTGTCCATTTTTCTCTAAGCAGGGTGGCTCTTCAAAAGAGAGAACATTAGGTTCACCTGGGGCCCAACCTTAACTGTGCTGATTTAAGGGGGCTGGTGGGGGAACCTTACAGTGTCCCTCAGGTGATTCTGCTAATGCAGCCAGGTTTGAGAACCTACAAATAAATTTTAGTTAAACACTGTGTAAACAAGCAAAAAAAGAAACCAGTGTAGAGCTGTCCCTTTAGATTACCATGATTTTGTTCTTGAACACTTTTTTTGGTTCCTCTTGCTAACTTTGGACGTCAGCCCTTTATAGTCCTTATGTATGTACCTCATCCTCAAAATAAAATTGGAAAAATTACGAGCAAGAAATGAAGAAATGAGAGGTGCTAATTCTGAGGAATAGTTAAGATTATAATCCTGAGTCCAATTACAGCAAAATTTGTTATTGCTTCTTTACGGTACTTGAAGTAGCCAAGAACTTGATGGAATTAAACAGCATATTGAATCACTGTAGTATCTGACGCTAGTAGCGTTCTGCCTGATAGTACTTCTCAAAGGAGGTAGATATTAATAAGAATTTTTAATTGAGAATACAACCAGTTTGGCTTTTGTGCTGCCATTCTATTCACTGTATTGATTTCACATGCTAAAAAATGTCCTAGTGCTGAGATGTGCGGTACATAACAGGAAAAGGAATCTGGTTTGGGATTAATTCTGTCCAAGCTCAGTGCTCTTACTCTTGTTTTATCCTCTCCCACGGCTACCTCCCCCTCCCCAGGATGTCGCTTCTGAGTGTGAAGTCAAGTGCATGCCAACCTTCCAGTTTTTTAAAAAGGGACAAAAGGTATGTATATCTCACCTTTAGGAAAACTAACTGAACAACAGGAAAACATGGTGTAAATGAAGAAACTGAAGTGGCTTATCCCTTCACAGTGGGAAGCATGTCACCATTTTCTGCTTTTAAGATTGTTTACATATGTTAAATGTCATCATTGACTTCGCTTTCTTAGGAGGTGTTTGTGTTTTGAGCCTTTTGACTTTTCTCAAGAATTTTTGTTTGTTTTTGGTTTTTGTTTTTAACTTAAACATCCCTGAATCACACAGTTCTTTTATGTTAAATAAGATTATACTTTCTCTTCCCACCCCCAAACCCCCATTTTCCCTTCATTCTATGATCCTACCTTATGTACAAACTAGTGATACAATGCTACATTTAATGTCAATTCAATATTCTCTTAACAGGTGGGTGAATTTTCTGGAGCTAATAAGGAAAAGCTTGAAGCCACCATTAATGAATTAATCTGATCATGTTTTCTGAAAACATAGCCGACCATCGGCTGTTTAAAACTTGTAATTTTTTTATTCACATGAAGTATGGAGATTATATCCACGTGTTGTCTGATTATAAGTGACAATAAAATATTAATTCTACTCTTTTTAAAACTGGTGTCTGAGTAGCTTTCAGAATAAATGAGAAATGGCCATTTAATGTCCTAATTATTTTTATATATGCTCGATCGTTTTTAGTAACCTTGTAGACCACTGTTTATTTTAAATTTTCTATTGGCTACCTTAATATGTGTCTAGAAAAATCTCTTGTCGGGGGCAATGCAGGTAGTAGAGTAATATTTTAAAATTCTTTGTCATTTTTTTGATCCTTATGAACAGAGAAAATAGTGTTCTGTGTTCTAGCAGGTGAATTCTCTATGCTGTCTCAGTGATCAGCATGACCAAAGGTGATGTCCACCTGTAAAGGAATTGTTTATTTCCAGTTTAAGGTTCCTGTACCAAAGGTTGCAGTGAGCTGCTAATTTTGCTAATGACAGTCATGGCTGACTCTCAAGGGAGTTTCCCCAAACAATACCGTAGGGATTTTGATAATCCTCAAAGTATCTAAGAAAGTCCAGTTTTACAGGCCAGATAGAGGTTCCAGCCTGAGCTGTACAGGCTGTGGAAATTACTGGTTATTTCATTCAAAGAACATTATTTCTTGTGTTCGAAACAGCAAGAGACTAGGGGGACAGCTTGAAGAAACAGTTTTCAAGTTTATATAATAATGAAAATCATATAGAATTACGTATGCCAGCATCATCCTTCTATTAATTAATTAAATCTTTGCAACAATCCTATTAGAGGTATGTACTATAATCCCCAGTTATCAGTGAGAAAACAGGCAAAGAGAGGGTAAGTAATTTTCCCCAGCATCACATCTAGTCAGTGGAGAGGCTGGGATTTGAACCAAAGAAGTCTGTTAGCAGAATATGTGCTCTTAACTACTACACTGCCTCTCAGCACAACAATCTGAATAAGCGGTAAAATGATGGGCCCCTTCCCTGGGTTTCTTTTTTATCTAAAATTAGAGTGCTGTACTTAGATGATCTCCCAAAATATTAATCGGATACCTGTTACCGGCCAGGTACTGTGCTAGGCTTGGGATATAGCTGTGAATAAGACATCCTTATCCCTATACAGCTTACATTCTAGAAGGGAAGACTAGTGAATAATAGACGAAAACAAAAAAAGGGCACAGTAACTGGGAATAATAGGGAACCTGCTTTGGATCAAGTGATTGGGGTAGGGTTCTGTGAGGTGACTGTAAGCTGAGACCTGATTGCTGAAAAGGACTCTGACCTGCTAAGAACGAGGGAATCAGCTTTCCATGTCAGAGAACGAAAAAAACAAAGACCTCAAAAAGAAAGAGCTTGGCACATTACAGAACCATCAGAGAAGCATGAAATCAAGCCGGATAGAGTGGCAGGCCCAGTCATCCAAGGCCTTACTTCTTCTGGATGCGATGGGAAGCCAGGGAAGGCTAAGTCAGGGAGTAACGTGCTCTGATACTGAGCTCATATTGGCAGCTGTATGGAAAATGGAAGAGACTAAAAGCTGGAAAACCAGTTAGGTTTTGCAGTTACCTAGAGCAGAGATAATGATGGCTGTGATTAGGGGACAGTGGGGAGGTGATAGAAATGGAACAAAGACTCCAAGGACTGATGGGAGTGGGAACCAAGGATGAATCCCGGGTTTCTGGCTTCTGCACCTGGGCGGTTGGACTGCCATGTAATGAGTAAGATGTGGATTGGAGGAAGCAGGTACTGGTGGTCAGCCAGCCTCTCCAGATAGAAGATAGATGCTTCTGGGGTACACACTTGAATGAAGATGCTGTGCCAGCTGTTGGGTACTAGTTTAGAGCTCAAAGGACAGGTATAGTCTGGAATAGAAATTGGGAAGACATTGTCATGTAAATGGCAGGAGAATCCAGAGTGTAGAGGGCTCAGGACAACATGTAAAGCTCCCAATATTTAGGAACCAAGTAGAATAGGAACTTAACAAAAGAGACTTAAGGGAGGTCATAGAGTAAGGAGGAAAATGAGAAGAGGGTTTTACCCTGGAAGCAGAGCGGAGAGCATTTCAAAATGGAAGGAGTGTCAATTATCAAATGCTGCTGAGAGGCTAAGATGAGGACTAGAAACAGTGGAGGCTGATGATTGCAACAAAAAATGTCGGGAGTGATGGAACAGAAATCACACTACTCATGTCTGTCCTAGAGGAAGTCACACTTGCCTATGAAGAAACCTGTCCAAGGATGATTATCGAATGGTTGTTTATAGCAGCAAAAAAAATTATCTCCATTGATACAGAAGTTAAATTCAACATGATAAATCCTTTCTGGGTAAGGAGCTATTAAATACTGGAATAGAAACAAATCCTATGAAGAAACCTGTCCAAGGATGATTATCGAATGGTTGTTTATAGCAGCAAAAAAAATTGTTATCTCCATTGATACAGAAGTTAAATTCAACATGATAAATCCTTTCTGGGTAAGGAGCTATTAAATACTGGAATAGAAACAAATCAACACAGTTGAGTAAAAATCAGGTTGCAGAATATTAACAATACAGAACAGTGTAATTCCACTTGTATAAAACAAAACATTCTAGATATGTCTGCATGTAAATCAATAGGAAAAGATCTCTAAGGAAACGTTTCCAACTAATCACAGCAGTGACTTCTGGAGAGGAGGGCGGATTGAGATTGATGGTTTTTAGTTGTATCTGTAAATGTTTGGATGTCTCATAACAAATATGTGTTCATGAATTACTTATAAATTAATGTTTTTTAAAAAGTGAACAGAAGATAAAGAAGAGGAAGCGGGGTTGTAGAACTCAGAAGTTTTGCCATAAAGTAGAGCTGAGAGAAGGAATTAAGAGGCATTTGTGTGTGAGACCAGCATGGTGGGTTTGCTCGCATGCAAATAGAAACGACACATGTAAACACTGATTTTGTAGGGACATATATCTGAAAGGCAATTCCTCTTGTAGTCAAGAAAGAATGGGAGGACATTATGCTAAGTGAAATAAGCCAAACACAGAAAAAAATACTGTATGATCTCACTTACGTGGAATCTAAAAAAGTCAAAACTCATAGAAACAGAGAGTAGAAGGGTGGTTAGCAGGGCAAGTGCGGTGGGAAATGGGTAGATTGTGGTCCAAGAGTACAAACTTGCAGTAATAAGATGAGTGAGTTTTGGGTATCGAGTGTACAGCATGGTGACTATATTAATAATGTATTGTTTACTTGAAATTTGCTAAGAGAGTAGATCTTAAGTGTGTTCACCACACACACGTACACTAATGGTAACTGTGGTGTCAGATGTGTTAATGAATTTGATGTAATGTTATACGACATATTTATATATCAAATCTTCATATTGTACACTGAATATACATAGCTTTTTATTTGTCAGTTATACTTCAATAAAGCTGGAATATCTTTTTAAAAGAAAACAAGGATGGGATTTAGTGGGAGAGACTGGTCTTGGACGGGACCAGTGGGATGAAGTTGGGTGCAAATTTAAGATTGTCAGTTTGGGAACAGGAAGATGAAATCGTCGTCTGATGATTTCTATTTTGTCAGATGCGGGGTGAGGGGAGAGCAAGTGGGCAGTGTTGAGGAGAAGGTATGAAGCCGTTATCTTCAAAATGGAGGAGGAGAGCATGCTTTCTGGGCATAGCTGAGTGACCACGTGAGGTTTGCTAGGACTTCAGAGCCCTGCTGTGTGCTGCTCCAGCCACCTGGGGCTGCTTCAGCACAGGCAGTCAAAGGGGGACAGTTGGAGTTGGAGTCACATGGGGTCTCAGGAGGTGAGTCCTGTGGAGAGGGGCATGCAGAGGAGTTGACAGCACTTTCAAGGGGCTGATCATACAAATGCAGCGGAGAATCAAGGCAGGACAAGCAGAGAAGATCAGCTAAGAAGAGGCTGGGGGAGACAGAAAAAGTGAGGGAGTCTGGGGATCAGAGGTCTTGACAAGATCAAAGAAAGTGGCAGAGGGAATGGGTGAGCAAGCAAACTACAAGTGTAGGAGACAGTGGACCGAATGGGATTTAAAAACATTCCAGAGGTAATGCAGTTTCCAGGGAAGACAAGGATTAGGGTGACCCTGAGAGGGTGGTGAGGTGGGGTAGAGGAAGACGGCTGGAACTCTGCAGGTCAAAGATTTGAGGCCAGGGGGTTGGATGGGTTGCTGGGAAAGAAAATGGGAATGGGGTTGGAAAGAGAAGCCTGTGAGGTGAACCACTGCCAGTGAAAGAGGGGCTTGGGAGCAGATGGCAGCAATAAATAAATAACCTCATGAATGAGTTTCAAAGGAGTAGGAGATTTTGCAGGAAGGAGAAGTGGTTTGTAAGGGGTGCCGGGAGGCAAGCAAACACTCAGTCACCTCCTGACTTAGGAAGGGAGAACCCTGAGATTTCTGTCAAAGAAAGAGGTGATGTTCCAATAACACGTTGAAGATACAGAAAGGGTTCTCAAATCAAAACTGGATTCCAGAAGGTAACATGAAAGGGACTAGGAGAGAGAGACCAAGGGTGGAGAGGATTTGGTCAGATCAAGGCTCCAAATCTCGGCAGCACTTGGAATCAACTAGGGAGCTTTAAGAAAAAAAAAAAAGTGATGCTGGGGTTCCACTCCCAGAGCTTTTGTTTGCACTGGTCTTGGGTGTTGCCTGGACACCTCAGATGATCTGATGTGCAGCTGAGATTGAGAACCAGCAGTTTAGGGCATGTACAATATGACCAGGAGGACATGGGTGACTGGTTGAGGCTTGGATATCTGACAGTGATTGTGGTCAGCTGTGGTTTGAGGCATGACAGAATTCATTCTGATAGTCTCAGTGAAATAGCTAACAGGTTGTTTTTGTTTTGTTTTGTTTTTCACTTCGAAAGCATTTTAAGAGATGAACATAAACATCATGGTCTTTCTTCTCATTTGTATAGTTTTTTCGCTGTTTCCTGCCAATCTCCAAAAACTTCACAGTTGCTAAATGTAGTTTCTTTGCTATATAGACCAGGTGTTTAGGGTAGATGCTTCATAACTTGAATATATTGTTAGCTATTTAAAATATTAAAGGTGTTAACATNGGTAGATGCTTCATAACTTGAATATATTGTTAGCTATTTAAAATATTAAAGGTGTTAACATTAA